AAACGCCTCGAGTTTGTGAAAGTTTAGTCAGATGGCGCCGCGGTGACTTTGTTTCTACACCTTGCCCAGTATGTAGCCAGTTGGATTTTTCAATTATAGAACCGCCGAGATCTTTTCCTTTTTCACCTCAAAGCAGTTGATTTTTTATCTTGAAGTCGCCGGTGTCTATATGTAAGTAGCTCTAACATTTATCACAGACACTGGCCGTCCAGACCGTTAGAAACGAAGATCTGAAAAGATAAAGCAGAACGAAAAATTCTGAAATTAGCATACTGTTGTCTTGCGAGCACCCGTTTGGTGTGGTGTTAATTTTCATTCTTCTGGTGTGTGGCCACCTGAAAAGCGTTTATATGGAAACCCTCGGAGCATTTTCTTCCCTGTATTTTCTAGATATCGTTATGTAACCAAGTGGCGTTTGCTTGTGATATGTTATATGACTATAGTAAGTCATCCATCCCGTTCAAGGATGCCGATAAAATTTAATTTCAACAAGCTCCTTTTGGTCGTGATGATTTATCCTCTGGGGAAATTTCACTCCTTTTTGCTGCTTAGCGTTGGCTCAAGTTGAATAGCTTGGCCTTTGACAAGTGCAATTCAATTTCGCCTTTGTGCAAAAGTTGTTGATCCGTCCGACTTGGTTCTTTTGATTTCAATCGTTTCTTAGCTTTGGTTCTGTAAAGATTGCGCGAAATTTGCGCGGCGAATCCTTGAATACAGCCTTGTTCTACTCGTCGTGCTAGGTTTGTTTAAGTAGACCATACGAAGACCTGGGCATCATGGTGAGATAATAGCCTATTTGGATCAATTTTGCCGGAGGTTAATACATGTGTCGTAGGTAAACCACGATGTTTTCTAAGTTGTGTTTTATCACACTCCCTATAACCTTAATTTGCTAATACTGTATACTGTGATCTAGTACTTGAAAGATCTTGAGTGATTACATGTTTCTAGATATAGCAATGCTGTCCATGGAAAGCCCTGTAACATTAAACTGTTGAGTATGGAAACAGGAAAATGTACCGAAGACGTCGGTGTTCTCTAGTAGTGCCGTCAGACACTCGCTGGTGCTCTCTGCTATCGCTCGTTAATCTCAAGCATCGCAAATCATGTTTTAATAATGGACTTTCAAAGCGCTATGTCGTCCCTTTCAAGAGCATTTCAATCCTTCTCAAATTAGTGCAAAAGGTGTGCTCAAAGAGTTACTTTGCGAAATCGTGGTGGAAAAGCGGTAATTTTTTGATGGAAATTTTGGGATCGCGCGCTGAATTGTAAACGAATCGAAAACGGGACTTTGCGCGGAATTTCGCTTCGTCTGAATTCAAGTTTATCACAAGCTTTTGTAACACAAATGTAATCCAGAGAATTTCGCGCAAGGAACGCGTTCTGTACATTAATTGCTGTATTCTTCACTTTCTTCCATTAGTGTACAAAATCGCATTGTGTCTTTATGAGGCGGACGTCCGTTCATTTTGTGTCGCGCTAACGAACCAACTCTCAAGAAACGACTTTTTTGTGGTTTGTCTACTCGTAATTTCAGTTGTACCACGTTTAGTTCGTAATCCGCTCTCGTGTACTCCGAATTAATCCGCCTTATTTTAAGAATCCAACACCAAATTCATTCTTAAAAGAATTGTTTCTTTCAAAACTCGCCGTTGACTGTTGTTCTCACGCCCTCTTGTTGTTTTTGATTTGCGCGTTTCTCGCTCTTATGTCAGACCAAAACGTTTTGAAACTTTCCTGGTGCGAAAATACGACTAGGCTCTCGTCAGCTTCCTTACATCTAATTCTTCAATTACTTGAGTTTTGTGTGTTTAGACAGAACCCTTTGTACATTGCAGTTGTAATAATTGGTTTACAATGACTCACCGTCTTTTAACTTTCAAGGAGTCTTTACATAACATTAATTGCAGTCTCTCTTCGGCTGTTCGCCGGGTTTATTCCACTGTTCCATGCTTTAGAATGCCTCAGTTTTAACCCTTTTTTCTCGCATAGAAAACATTTCGGTTTGCTTTGTTTTGCGTTTCTTCTAGTGCAAATAAGCGAGTATACAAAGTTTCATCGCCACTGTCTTCCATTTTGTAGTCTTTATTTCCCTTGAAGGGAAATCGGTTATGTTATCATCCCACGGAAAATCATCCCTTTGATTTTTTTGTTGACTTTGATACGTTCTCCTTTGCAACATCAAACATTTGAAGGTTCGGGTTTCATGCATATGTAAAATTCCCCATCTCTGTGATTGTTGATTCTGTGCTTTGATTAATAACTGATTTTTTTAATCTCCGATGTGTATCTTAGTGGCTTTGTGCGTGGATTTCATTACCTATATCTAACGCCACCCTTGTGGCGATAAAAAAATAGCTAATCCAGAAAAGACGTGCCTCTAAGTAGTAGCGACCATTCGGTGATCAAAATTGTTATTAACCATTTTTATGATGTGTGTTTTAAACTCTCGAATGCTCCTGCGTTCAAGACCTGTTCGTCTTTTCAGTCGAACTCGCGCGTCCGTTATGCCGGGTTCCGTGTCTAGCGTACGTGATTGCTTTTGATGTAAGACAACTTCAATATCAGCGATTAGATTGCGTTTTGGTATTAGAAGTCAACTTTCGAAAAAGAAGGTCTTTCGCTCCCAGCCTGGCTTAAACGACAGCTGTTTTGATGTTTAGACAATGTGAAATGTTGTCTTTCACTATCTTACTTGTATTTACTCATTCAGCGCCGAGAAGGTTTTTGAGAAGCTTGTACCCGCATTTAAGCGTTGTATCTCGCGGTCTTATTATCGTTATAAAATTTTGCATGCCAAAGAGAATATTTTGCCTTCAAGCCATAATGCTGTTTAATTCACAATTACCGTTATGCAAGGCTAGGTTTTCTGTTAGTTTTTTTTTTGTCGATATACTAGTTTGACTTGTAAAATACGTTTTTGTGCATACCTTTAGGACGTGTATTCGCAGTTATTTCTTAATATGAGATAGGATATGAGTTTATGCTAGGTTGAATTTTGTCATATAAACGTCTTTTTGCCTCTTATTTCTTTCTAGTCGGCCCTAAGGCGGACTGCAACCAAAACAAATCTTGTGCGGACATAAAAGTTTTCATGGAAAGCCAAATTAAATGCCAACCTAGAAACTAGAAGAAATCAAAATGTTCTCTGTGTTTAAATTAATTATTGCACCGATTTCTGCTACGCAAAGTCGATTGAAGCAAAGTTAATTTCTGTCGTAAAGATCAGAGCATCAGGGCAGAATTTTCAATGTTGAATTTTTCGTCGCGTTTAAAACACATACCCTCTAAAATATCCATTTGTGTGTTCCACTCCCTCCGGTGGAAATGATCTACCGAGGCCAAAATATTTTTGTCGACTGCCGAGAGCTCTGTTGTGTTTATAACGAGAAGAGTTCACTTTGTGTTTTCCGGCCAGTGCTAAATTTGCTAATGTGCAGTTTTATAGTGATGTTTATCGATGTATTGCCATGCCTAAAGGGATATGTGATCAAAAGAACACAAAAGATCTAGTGATTTTCTTTTCGCGTTTTAAAAAGGACAAATTTCGAATAGAAACATAAAAGCGTTATCTAAGGCGGACAATGACCTGACCCGTCCCTTTAAATTATTTCTTTTCACAGTCGTTGCTTGTTGATTTATTACACAAATGATTTCAATTCACTCTACCCACAAGGTCGATCCAGTGAATAATTTTACACCGCAGAATTGTAACTTTTGCCCCTTGGAAAGGCTACATACGCTTAGTCTGTATTCTTTTCATTCCACTCTCGACTGGAAAAATGACCGAGCCGAGCAGGGCTGGCTTGGATTGTTTATTTTGTAGTTAGAGGAGTGTGTAAACGTTTTGCGTTTGCGTCGAAAATTATCAGATAATGATAAACCAAGGTGCGCCGCTACATACTGTTGTCCGTTAAATGTTTTGATTCATCTAACGTTTCCGTGGTTTGTGCGTAAGTGATCCTCCAAACTGCGCGAGGTTTTAACTACATTTTAATGGTGTGTTTCTCGTTAGAACGGACCCCAACTGAAGCGCATCAACTTGCAAGCTTCTTGTTATTTTGAGCACATTTCATGTCATGCAGAAATTTCCTTTGTCTAGTCTTTCGATCGCGCGCCTGATTGTCAAAGGGTCTTTTTAAAATCAACTTGGCGAAAACAGTGATATTCTCGAGGGCTAGTTGATATTGCACCCTTTATTTCGTGCATTGAACAACGAAAATCCATCGGCGATAATAGAGTTAAAGTGTTGCGGTTGGTTTTGTTTTACGCCAACCTCAAACGTGCGCGGCTAAGCTGGTAAAATTCGCATAGTCGGTCTCCAAGGATCAAAAATCTTTCAACGCTAATCAATTATTCATCTTGAAGGTTTAGTCGTGTAGGCGGGACGATAGAATCTAATTTAAAACTGCTGATGACAGGGGGGATAAATTGCTACCGATCTTATCTAAATTTGCCTTTGTTGACGAGCCTTAGGGGACATTTCTTCGCCAGGGGTGGCACGCACTTTTTCAATTGACAATTTGATAATGAACTGCTATAGTTGCCCTCTCGCTAGTAGCCATCGATTACACTTCCTCTTTAAATGCGCTGTATTTCCGATCAAGTTTCGTAAACATTACAGGAATGGAAAAAACGCGATCGCGCAGCAAAAAAATCGCTCTCTCGCCCTTCTGTTTTTCTGCGTCGCCGCGCTAAGGGATCTTTTGTTGTTTTTAATTCGGCGTTCAGCGCCTGAACAACCGTTCCGTGATCGCTCAAGAGGTTGCCGGTACAAGCTGGCGTTGTTGCAATGTTCTGTGTGTACCCGTGGAAGTTTCAAGAGTGGAAACTGTGTTTTTTAATTAGTTTACATAACATGGATGCTAATTACTATCTTAGCAGCACGTGTGAATATGTCCAGTGACCCGCATCTTGTATTATCCCTCTTCCACCTCGACCACACACAACGTTTGTCTGATTTCAGCCTCTCAGTTTTTCTGTTCGTTTATTGCTTGCAGGTTCTTCGTCTTAGCGAGTTTGTTTTGCTCGACGTGAGGCGGTTTTTGTCCCTTCTCCACAAGAATTTCTCGTCAACGTGAGTGTTTTTACGTGCAAGTAAACATTCTATACATGGAAGAGTTACGTTTCCTGATTAATTTCAGGGAGATTAAAAATGCCCTGTTGTCACATGCGCTCGGCGACGACTTTGAAAATTGCATTTGGAAAGGTGATAGACACTGTGACTCGCAAATGTTATAGATGATGTTTTTAATTTATAAGTCTGTATGTTCGCCTGTGCCACTATCCGGCAAATGAATGATTTTCACTGATTTCTCAGCCGTGTAACTGGATAGTAACATTTTAACGGAGGAAATATTTTTTGTTGCACATCCCACCGCCTCAGAGATGTTATTTTTGTTAAAGGCTGTGGTATTTACATACGATATTAACACCTTGCTTGCATGGGAAATTTTTCTATTACATTCAATAAAAAATACATATTTGCTCTACGGCAGTTTGCTTGCTTTCTTTTTCCATCTTTCGCAACGATAATGTTTTCGACTTAAAAGAAACGTGGCTCGATCTGGAGTTGTTATGTCATTATTTTCCCGCTCTAAAACACGTTCACTTTTTGCATAAATATTAGCCGCCTTGACCACAAGAGGTAGTGGATTTGTTTGTGACCTAACTTGCGGGCGGTTTTGCTCTAACCTTGGCATGATAGCGGCGCGGATCACTCGGTTATCGAAATCACGGTTATTGAACTAAGATTTTCTCGTAATCGTGTATGAAGGAGCGCAAATGAACTTCACTTCATCGCTTAAGATCGCGCACGTTTCCAGATAGTAAGTTTTTTTTTTTGGATTTTCTTCTGCCAGCGATATCTCCAATACCCAAAACCTGGAGTAATTATTTTTGGCGCGAGATACTAATTAATTGGTGCACCTCTGCCGGCGTACCAATCGCATCACCGCTATCGCTAATTAGGCCTTGCGTTGCCGGGGTAACGGGCGCCGCACAATGGAGAATGAAGCGAAATCAGGTGACCATCGCACGTGCAGTTAGCGGCAATGGCGGTCAATCGGTCAAGCTCGATAACAGCACCTGCTAACTTCGAGCTAATTTCCATGTTCGGACAGATGACAGTTCATTTCCTTGGGTTCGGGTGATTAGGGCTTAATTGGACCAGCTGACGACTACATCACACTAGCTGATTTGTCGACAGGCCGGTGAGATCTCGGAATCAAAACGTCGAATCCCGCCCCCTTTGACGAGCCCTTGAACAGCCTGTCACATTGGCTGTCGGCCTGTCAAACGGCTTGACATGAGTAACGCAACTAAAGGTTCATTTATCAAGAGTGTCATTGGACGGGCGCTGATTGGCCAATTCGTGCTGGCTCGCTTTCTGCCAATCAATAACACATGGGATCGAGGAGGCGAGAGTCAAAAATAACGTGTGGTCTTCATAAGCGTGTAACGAGGTTTTGAGAGCGTACCACGACAGAACGACAAACGAACTCTCGACAAACCGTCAGAATTTTGTCGTGGAAAATTTAGCGCCCGCCAACTCGAAGGTAATTTTATTTGAATTTGTCTCGTTCGATTTGCCATGTCGACGACCACAATTCTAGCGCCGTCGCCGAATACGGGCTCGAATGCGAACGGCGAGAGCAATGGAAAGTGCAGTCCGGACCGCGTTAAGCGACCCATGAATGCATTTATGGTTTGGAGCAGAGAGAGACGGCGTCGAATGGCACAAGAACATCCCAAGATGCACAATTCCGAGATATCGAAGCGGCTGGGAGCCGAGTGGAAACTGCTGTCGGACGCTGAAAAGCGCCCGTATGTGGACGAAGCAAAAAGATTACGAGCTGTTCACATGAAGGACCACCCCGACTACAAGTACAGACCGCGACGAAAGAGCAAAACTTTGCTCAAGAAAGACAACAAATATACACTGTCAATGTTGGGCGCTCAAGGCGGCCCGCCAGTCCAGCGATCTGTGGCGCAAAACCCGGCCGAACATTTTGCCCAAATGAACGGTTTCTCAGCGTACGGTCCCATTACAGCTTACAGCCAGATGAATGTCAATGATCCTTATAGTACAATGTACGCTGGTCATCCACTCTCACCGCATACCCCTACACAACTTCAGGCATCGAATGGCATGCATCACTCCGGCTACACCGGCATGGCAGGCGCACAGATCTACCCTGCCGTTTCATCGCAGGGTCCAGTTTACACCATGAACGGAACTCAATCGATGAACGCGATTACTCCTTTGTACTCGCAGCCTAGCAATCAAGTCCTGCTACCTAACATTAAACAAGAAATGCCGAGCCCTGGCTCGCAGTCCGGCCGAGCACGGAGCTGCACCGATCAGCTGGGAGATATGATTAATACGTACCTTCCAGGGGATGGTTCGAGTATAGCGAGCGCGAATCACCATCACCAAGTAGCTGGAAGCCACGTTCCACCGAATCGTTATAACCAGTGGCAAGAGTCAAGCTCAGTGGCGAACAATCTGCCTGTCCACAGCGGAGTTTCTGCTGCCAGCATTTCTAACGTTTCGGGAGTGAGTGGGACAATGCCATTAACTCACTTACCATGATGGAATTAGCAAAGCTCCGAGCTCATTTCTACCGCAAACACGGTAAATTCATTCTGTATTTTGCTACCTGACCATTTTCACAGTCGTTTATAGAGAGATGAAGGAGGAAAGTTTAAATAAGCGGCAACTAAACAGATTATTGCTTGGCTCGACTTTCAACTGGAGAGTCAAGGCACTGCGGTGCTATGCGAAGGCGAAGAGAAAAAAATTCGCGGCGATCTTGCCGGAGAACTGAATTTACTTGTTGAGCGAAAATTTATTGATCAGGCTGATGAGTTATTTAAGGAACTAGTGACACACGTTCGCTGTCCTCTCTGGATGTGAATAATTCTACTGAGAAGTGAAGTGAACTTAAGTAATTGAAACGACTCGTGTACCTTTCAACACACGAAAGATTGTATCTAGGAGAAAAAAAATTCTTGCTTTAGTCGAGCTTTTTTCAGTCGCGTCGAGTCGAACGTCAAATGTTCACGCATCCATTTACTGGCTGGATCATTCTTTTAAACTCTTAATGTTTGTTGGCTTGCATGTTTGAATTACTTTGTAGGATTAAGCACGTTTGTATGAATTTCAAAACCCTATGTGTACCATGCTAATATTAAGTTAGTATTGCTGAGTTCCGTAATGATATCTTGATGAAGAGAGAAGAAACAACTTGTATATAACTTCAGATCAAAGAGAGCAGATAATAATATTTCGTTTATTTTCCTTTTGAAGAAATAAAAAAGCACATAAAATAATTCCTCGGCTGACTAGCTTCCGTAGGGGTTTTTAACTTTCTCTTAAGTGAGCGAAACGCTATGGGCAACATGCGGTCATTTCTAAACACATTGCTTTCTAAAGTTAGTTCTTCCTAAGCTGTGGGGTCGCGCGCGCACGAAATTCAAACAACGTCCCGAAATTGCACAAATATTGTTTTATTTGCTGAAAAGCCCGCGAGCGTGAAACAAAAGAGTCCAATTTCTCGCCAAACGGGCCATTTGAATACAAGTATATGCATAGATGAGGGAAAAAGCTGTGTTTTTAAAATACGAACGCATTTCCACTCAGGCGTTGAGAACACAGAAAAATCGGCGTGTAGGTTGACTCGGCGTGCGTCAAATGAGGTGTTGACAGGTCGTTCAGGCAGCTGATTGGCTGCGCTCTGAGTGATGATGGCAGCTGTGTTATCAGCCCTTTCAATAATAATCATTAGGGCTTATTAACAGAACATTCCTGGAATGTGCTTCAACTTCATTACTGCCAACAAGTTACGAGAACAGGCCGAGCTTTCGCCCATACAGCCGTCGATAAGTTCCATGGAGAAGCTTGATCGATAAGGCACAACGGGTCGCAGAGTTAAGGGTCTTGATTTGCCACGAATCTTCGCTTAGCCAATTTTTCAACGCCTCTTGGTTCCCATGGATACTAAAAGCTCTAGAGACAGCTGAGAATTACAGCTGTAAGCAGCTTTGAAACCCTCGAGAGATCGGCGAGTTTTTTTTCCAGAGTTTTGACGCTAGCTTCTTTATCTAGGCGCGCTTTTGCGCCTCCAACGATCTCCTCATGAATCGAGTCCCGTTTGCTGAAGGACAAAAAAAATTTAATCATTTCCCCGGTGTTTTGATATGTGTTGACAAGTTCTGCTAGCACAATTAGCACATGTTTATCGGTGTCGGCAGATCATAGAGAAATTTGGTTGCGAAAATTAAAATTCCCGCTCCGCCATTTCCTTGGCGCAACGAAAGTTGGTTTTTTCATTGTCCGGTCGGTCATCGAAGGAGTTACCGCTGTTTGAAGGAAATTTCTTTAAAATTTACTTGAGCAAACAGCATCTGGCGTTGCGCCAATATTAGTAGTAAAATTCTGGTTCGGTCTTATTACTATTTACCGTGGGTATGGCAGCCTTTCATTTAGATCTTGAACTCGTTTGCTAGGTCCCGCTTGTACAATTACTGCCCTGTCCAAATAAAATTTCACCATTCAACTTTAATATGTATCTCTTCATTTAGAGTTCGACTCCTTTGGAAATGAACTTCTGAAAGTGAGGAAAATTAGTGGGCCCCTAAAACTGTTCGACTCGCAATTAAAGGATCTGATATTGTGAGCGGAGCGTGAAATGCAAAATAGTATACACAAGGCAGCTTTGTGAATATTTTTAGAGCGACAAGAAAAGTTTTGTTTGTTATGTTTCGGACTCAAATCGAACTAGATTATACCATGAAACGTGAACTTAAACCTTTTGACTAATGTGTTTTTAGAGCTTAACAAAGAAATAACGAATCGCGGGAAATTTATTTTGTGCGCGCAGTTTAATGACAGCTAGAGGAAAAATAGCAAATTACGGGTGTTATTAGAGCGGACGAAGTTTCCGGTGGAAATTGTGGAAGAATTCACAAAACCCTTCTAAGTTTCCTTTCGCATATCTATACACGAACCAAGATGGCTTGGTAATCGGTGTTTACCAAATAGAAAGTGACTGTCATTATTTTTGTTTTCGGTGTCGAGTTTCGAAGAACTTACGTATGGAAATCACGACTATTTTTGGTCTCGAAACAAAGCCAAAATGCAAATGCGTACGAAGCGAAGCGAGACGTGTCGAATTAAAACTTTACAGCAGCCTCGCTGATGGCTCTCCGTGTCGACCGAGGCGCTTAACAATTTTAGAAGGCACGAAATAAAAATTCCGAATAGATATTCATTTCTTTAATGCAGACATGATTAACTATAGACAAATTGGTTGAATAGCGAGCGAGCGGAGAACAAAGCGAACTTAACCTTTGATAAAATGCTGATGCTACCATTATCAATAATGCAGGTTTGATGAAATTACGAGTGTATGAAAGAATCATTTTGCAGCTATGTAGCTTGAAGGGCAGACGTTTAGTCGTGATTCGATTAGGTCAAATCGCTTTTATGGCCGGTCAGTTATCTGGGAAACTTAAGACCGTAAGCAAATATACAGCACTCCTTACTACTTTGAACAGTTAACACGGAATTATCGATCTTTTCTTTACGACTAGACATTTACTCGAGGCTTTTGTTTGATGTCGCATGAAAACCCCATTACATTTCTATAGGAAGTAAATGTGAATAGATAACAGTCTTTATCAAAGAAGAAAACTTTCTGTTTACACTTTGTTATTACGAGCGTAAATAAGAAGAGCTGCTAACGTTCTTGGAGAGCAGAGTTAGCGAGTTTCCCTCCAGCGCGCCACGGCGCAAGTGAGATCCGTGTCCCTTCGCAGAAGAGCTTTCACCCCATCTGCGTTTTAATTATGTAAGTTTTTTTTTTTTATCTAACCCTTTTGCTCCAGTGATTTATTTACTTAAGTTACAGGAGAAAATTCTTTCAAGTATAGACAGTTAATCTAGATCGAGACAGTTCTTTAGGCTAATATCCTAAGTGAATTTATCGCTTGCGCCGTTGTTTTCTTGCGTGTAGTCAGTATTCTTAAAGTGAACTTTTCAACCAAAATAAAATCTCGTTGGTTTGTTTATCGAAGACGATATCGTGTCGCCTTCTTGACCTCGCGCTTCGCATTTTAGAAAAACATGGCCTTTGGTGCGGCGTTAATTCTTGCAAACATCTTTAAATGAATAGAAATCTCTTATGTTTGCTCTCTACGAACGGAAAAGGCGTGAGGCGCTGGCAAGCTGTTATAGACTGCACGCAGCGATGACTCACACGGCGCGAAGAGGCGTGATCTCGAAAACTAATTAATTTCTCGGTGTGAAGCCTGGTTTCCTTAACTCCTTCGTACTCCACGAAACTGTAAACATTTGTGAGATTAAAGACTAAAGCAAACTGGTTTTGGTTAAACTGAAGCCCGGGGCTTTAGGCGCGAGCGAAACTATTCAAGCAAACTCTGTGTTAACTAATACAAAGCTTTGTTGATGCAAACTTTGTTGATACAGCAAATGGTGCGTTTTTCTCGGACGTCATAACCTTCGTTTGCGAGGTTTGCACTTTTTCGACTTCTTAGATCTAGAATTTTCAGTTTGTTTCATGTGTCATCGCATCGCAGAATTGCAAACATCTGCTTTTCACCATAAATACAGTACCCCCGAAAGTCTCAAACTTGCATTCGTGTTGTTTGGGTTTCGCATGCACAAAAGAAGAAAAAAGATGAAAAATTATTTTAAAATTATACTGCCGATCCGCGCGGGGCCAGTTTGATTTTCGCCCACGGTCTCTGGCGTGATTTAAAACAAAAAAAAATCCATTCTCAGCGTCGCTCTTGAAATCAAACAATTTACAAGGAAAGAAATGCTCGGCGTTATTTCACATCAAAATTTTGACATGCACATGTTTGGAGCTAATACGAGATGCTAGATTTTTTGTCATAGCTTAGAACATATTGCGACACCTTGACTGGTTGTAGACACATGATTAAATTGCTGATTTTAAAACACAGTGTTTAACATTGATGCTTAGCGTAAATTAACTATGATATTCTTTGCGATCCGATTATTGCAATAAAAATGTAATTTCTTCGGCAGGGTCGGTTTATGGGACGACTTTAAAAGACTTCGGGCTGTTAAACGGACATTAGTTTCAGTCAACTCCGTGTCGCGTCGAATGACACGTTTTGGTAAAGTTAATTTTAATATTCTGAAACGCAAACACTGCTTCTAAAAGCTGTTATCTCTTCTACGCCCGAAGCCAGTGTCAGAGATACTCACAGCCTGACCTAGCTGTATGTTCGCTGTGCCCGGCGTGAATTTAGCTCAGCCACAGTGGGGCGAGTTTTGTCCTACGGTCGAATTTGCTTTTAGGACCTTCTGGTTGTGATAATAAGTTGGAAGCGAGCGAAAACCACGTTGTGCGGATTTGGGATGGTGAAAACCTGTTTAATAACATTCAGTAATCGGACAACTTTATTTTCGCAGTTTTCACTTTTCGGGGTCTTGCACAAAATGTAGCGATCGCGATTAGATGTTTATAGTTTAAAAAAAGCGGAATCCTTCAGGCTATGTTCGCTTGAATAGTTTCTCTGTTTGTCGGGATCGCGAAGGCGGAGCTTGCTGTGTCGCTCTCGCATGGCCAAAGTAATTAACACTTGGTCGTATTTTCAGGCGTAAATGAACTGAATAATTCATAAACTGAGGTGTGTTTTATTTTGATAACAGCTATACCGCCCACTTAGCGCCTAATTGCCTCGAGGCTCCATGGGGAAGACATCGATTTGCTTTCCTCTAATAACGTTCGTTATATTATCAACCGTGCATTGGGCGCACATACATCCATTGTAGTGCGTGATTTGAAACGAACGCTCAAATCTAAATATTGCGAGGAAGAAACTCGTGGAGAAAATAGTGTGGCGAGTAACTCTTGGAAAAATATTGTTTTATTTTGTGAAAATGACTCGAGCTCGCTTTTGTTTCTTGTGGTGTAAATATTTGTCAAAAGAGTTTGTTGCGATTTTGCTGAAAATAAATCCGGTAACTACTCTTAGTATAGAACAGTGTTCGGTAACTGTTCTTTTATTTTCCGTTGAGACCTAAAACCGATAATAAAAAAATCGATCTTCTCTATGAATTAACTCGTTATGTTTCATTATTTTCCCGTATTGATTTTACGTCTAAGAAATATAGTGATATTTTTTTTTTTAAGTGCGCTGTTCGGAGGAAGCAGCGCTTGCGAGAAAATTGTGTTGTGATCTTTTCGCTGTTTCTTTTACAGATTGTAATTTCGTGCGGTGTTTTAGCGATATGTAAAGGCTATTGTGAGCGAATTGCTTCTGGAAACCATGGGAGA